TGTCGGAAGCTGAAACCCAAATCAAGGAAGCTAAAACCCAAATCGACCAAGTAAACAATCGGGTTGATTACGTGATGGCTGACGTGAAGAAAACGCTGGACGACCTCAAACTGGGGGATGGAACTACAGCTCCCGTAGTAGCTATTACACCTTCGCTACGTGGGTTCAAGGTGCCACCATTCGACGGGACTTCTTCCTGGTCAGCCTACAAAATCCAGTTCGAGGCTGTTATGAAGGCGAACGGCTGGAATAAAAGTCAGGCCATGACTGCTCTCACACTAGGCCTGCGCGACCAGGCCTTAACAGTTCTGGAAGCTCTCGGTGAGGAAGTGACTTATGAGCAACTCCTTGAGGCATTGGAGGCGAGATATGGAGACGCTCACCTGGAACACGTCTTTCGTGCGCAGCTTAAAGATCGTGTGCAGCGCATCAACGAAAACCTGCAGCAGTGGGCTCTAGAAGTGGAGAAGCTGGTGCGAAAAGCATACCGGTCTGTACCTGCGCTCATTGAAGGGAACCTGGTGCAGACATTCATCGACGGCATCCGCGACCTGGAAGTCAGAGCTGCTGTGAGGCTCGGGCACCACGAGACGCTTAAGGACGCCTTGGCCCATGCACTGGAAGTGGAAGCCGTGCGGCAGGATCATCGTTCCCATCGCGTCAGGGAGGTTGCAGCAGCTACAGTTCGCGACCGCAACAAAGGATACAGCCCAAGGTGCTATGGCTGTGGGGAAAAGGGCCATCTTCGATCCAGCTGCCCTAAGCGAACCCTAGAAAGGGAAATTGAACGATCTCAGGAGGGTAGTGCGGCCAACAGCACCGCCCAGCAGCGGCAGGGAAACGAGTAAAAGCCAGAACTGCGGGGCGGGTGCTGGCTGATTTTAAAAGAGCCCCAAGGATCTCGATCTCACAAACCCATGATGGGAACAGCCTAATCATAAAGGGCAAGCTCAACGGAATGCCGTGTAAGCTGACCATAGACACTGGAGCCTCTCGTACGGTCGTTAGTTCCCAACTTATAAGTCAGTTCCTTGGGGACTCCGCATACAACCGAGAACGCCTTAATTTGGTAACAGCCACCGGTCAGCGTATACCCGTCCGTGGAGAGAAGGAGATGGAGTTGAAGCTAGGCAACGTGATCTACCTGCATAATGTCATCGTGGCTGATATAATGGACGACTGCATCTTAGGCCTAGACTTTATGAGGAATAATTGTTGTGAGATCGACGTTAAGCAAGGTGTTTTGAAATGTGGACAGGAGGAACTTTTTATGGAAGGTGCGTTACCAGGGAACGTGTACAGCATCAAGAAGATTGTTCTTCCGCCGAGATCAGAAACGATTGTTCCGGTTAGTCTACCTCGAAACGCTGGGCAAGCTCACCGTTGTGTACTTGTGGAAAGGGCAAACAATGACCTTCCATGGAAAGTAGCTCGAACCTTGGTCAGGACCACTGACATCTCAGGAGTACGTGTGCTGAACCTTTGCGACCGGGAACAGATTATAGAAAAAGGCACACTGGTTGGTACTTGTGAGGAAGTGGATTGGTTACGTCAGTGCCAATATATATCGAGTGGGACCCCCAGCAAGGATTCAGAAACGAGAGTGACCACACTTTTGGAAGACTGTCGCAGTGTTCTGTCCCCGAACGAATTGGTCAAGGCGAAGAAGTTGTTACTCAAGTACGCCGATGTATTCTCATCAAATGATGCTGACATAGGAAAGACTGGCCTAGTTCAACACAAAATAAACACAGGAGAGGAATTGCCTATCCGTCAGCGGCCAAGAAGATTGCCGGTAGCACGTGAAAAGGAAGTGGAAACCATGATTGAAGGAATGGTGAAGGATGGTGTTATTGAACCTTCCTCTAGTCCATGGTGTTCACCAGTGGTGCTGGTGAAAAAGAAGGATGGCAGCATGCGGTTCTGTGTTGATTACCGCCGTCTGAACGACGTTACAAAGAAGGACAGCTATCCCTTGCCAAGAATTGATGACACGCTGGACATGCTTACAGGAGTAAAATGGTTTAGCACGCTGGATCTAAAAAGTGGCTACTGGCAAGTTGAAATTGACCCTAAGGACAAGGAGAAAACTGCGTTCTCGACGGGAAAGAGTCTGTGGCAATTCAAAGTAATGCCGTTTGGGTTGTGCAATGCTCCAGCAACGTTTGAAAGGCTGATGGAACTTGTACTTACCGGGCTAATTGGCGATGCCTGTCTGGTCTACTTGGATGACATCATCATCGTGGGCCGTACGTTTGAGGAACACCTTCAAAACCTGGAACGCGTGCTCATGAAGATTCAGAGTGCCAACCTCAAGTTGAGCCCGAAGAAATGTTCACTATTTCAACGGCAAGTTAACTTTTTGGGGTTTGTAGTATCGGAAGAAGGTATCCGCACAGATCCAGAGAAAATCGCCGCTGTCAAGGTTTGGCCGGTTCCAAAAGACAAGACGCAGGTTAGAGCATTTTTGGGTTTGTGCTCCTATTACCGGCGATTCGTGAAGAACTTTGCAGATATAGCCAAACCTCTGCACAAGCTAAACGAGGAGAAGCGACATTTCTGCTGGAATGAAAGTTGCAATATCGCATTCCAGGAGCTCAAGGATCGTCTGTGCAAAACACCTATTTTGGGATACCCTGATGCAAGCAAAGAATTTATAGTTGACACAGACGCAAGTGATATAGGACTCGGCGGTGTGTTGTCTCAACGGAATGGTGACCAAGAGGTCGTAATAGCGTACTTCAGCAAGTCGTTGTCAAAACCGGAAAGGAACTATTGTGTCACAAGACGCGAATTGCTCGCTGTGGTAAAGTCGTTGCAGCATTTTAGCAAATATCTTCTGGGACGAAAGTTTCACTTACGAACTGACCATGCTGCACTAAAATGGCTATTGCAGTTTAAAAATCCAGAAGGACAAGTTGCGAGGTGGATTGAACTACTGCAGGAATACGACTTTGAGATCGAACATCGCAGCGGAAAATCTCACGGCAACGCAGATGCATTGTCAAGAAGACCTTGTCCTGAAGATTGCAACCATTGTACTAGGCAAGAGAGTAAGGAAGTGGTATCCGTGAGGATGCTCAGGACGGACCACCTCAGCAACGAATGGAAGAACAGCTTACAACATGCACAGCAGGAAGATCCGGACATCAAGCCGATTCTGGAATGGATAAGGGCCAGTGCTCCCAAGCCTAAGTGGAGCGACGTCTCAGCAATGAGTTCAACCACTAAAAGCTATTGGGCCCAGTGGGACAGCTTGCTGCTTCAGGATGGAGTTCTGTGCCGTAAATGGGAAAATGTTCGGGGAGACAGCTGTTATTTACAAATGGTTGTCTCTAAAGCTAAAGTACCGGATGTTCTACAGCTGTACCATAATGATTATTCAGGAGGCCATCTGGGAGTTAAACGAACTCTACTGAAGATCCGAGAACGGTTTTACTGGGTCCACTGTCGAAACGATGTCGAGGACTGGTGTCGCAAATGTACAAGTTGTGCGGCTGTAAAGGGACCTCAGACTCGTAGTAGAGGTGCATTGAAGTTGTACAATGTGGGTGCACCATGGGAGAGAATAGCCATTGACGTGGCGGGGCCGTTTCCGGAGAGTGAAAGCGGTAACAAGTATTTCATGGTTGTGATGGATTACTTCACTAAGTGGCCAGAAGTCTTCGCCATTCCAAATCAAGAAGCTTCAACAGTTGCAGATAAACTAGTTTATGAAGTCTTCTGTCGTTTTGGAGTACCTTTAGAGATTCACAGCGATCAAGGAAGGAATTTTGAGTCTCAAATATTCCAGGAAACTTGCCGAGTTATGGGTACTCATAAAACAAGAACGACTTCTTATCACCCGCAATCTGATGGAATGGTGGAACGATTTAATCAGACATTGGAGAGGTACCTAGCAAAAGTTGTAGTCAATCGGCAACGAGATTGGGACAAGCACATACAACCGTTTTTGTTGTCATATCGAAGTTCTGTTCACGAAAGTACAGCAGTGACACCAGCTTTCGCAAACTTTGGAAGAGAATTACGGCTGCCTGCGGACCTGATCACCGGGATACCACCTGATGCCCCACGCAGTATAACCGATTATGCAAATGACTTGCGGAACAAAATGAATGACATTTATGAGCACGTCAGACAATCGGGCCAGCAAATGTCTGAGAAAATGAAAACCCGGTACGACCGCAAAATGAACAACAAAGGGTTCGACGAAGGTTCACTTGTGTGGTTGCACAATCCAGTCCGCAGCAAAAGGAAATCTCCTAAGCTTCAAGCTAAATGGGACGGCCCGTACCGGATTGTAACCAGGATCAACGATGTGACCTACCGGATACAGAAAGGCGCAAGAGGGACTCCTAAGATCGTCCATGTGGATCGCTTGGCGCGTTATTATGGGACCGATAATGCTCGGGACGAGCATGTCTTAGGAGGGGGGCAGTGTTGCATGAATAAGTCAACTAGCGCCATCTAGTGTCAGGAACGAGAGCGAGGGGCGCATTGAGAAAATGACATCACAAATCACTCAACTGACAGCGCCTAGTCGAAACTCGAACGCTCGGTACCTTGCGCGTGTTTACTTGAACATTCTGGATATTTCTTTGCTAATTTAAATATATAGGCGCTGCAAGATGCGAGGGAAGCAGTGTTGATTTGGGCGAAACAAGCGAAGTTTCGGGCGGAATTAAGTGAATTAGTGTGTTTAATTATTAGTGTTTTAACTTTAATTTGTGTAAAGTAAATTAAAGTGTTAATTTAGGTAATTTTATCGGCAATTTTTATTGTCACGAACCTCAAGCTCGTAACAATATATCACATACCATATTAACACATCTTTATATTTTATTTTTTGACATAATTTTTGTCTTTATAATCATTTTCGAGTAGTATTCTACAAATTTTCAATTCGTCAAATTGTATCGTAATGTACTATTAACTATTTGTAAAAATTCCAAATTTATCAATTAAATGCTTCAAATTAATTAAATTTGATATTTTAACAGTTACACCCTATGAAAGGAATATACATAACAAGTAACTTATGTTTTCCCAGGGATAGTTACTTAGCAGCAGCCCGATCAGATCACGAAGAGTCTCCTCAACAATATTTACCGGACTTACCTGAATCATCTGTACGAGGCTCCAAAGCATTTACCAACACCAATTCTCACCAATATCATGGAACAAACACTAGGGGAAATTCTCAAGAATATGGACTTCCTAGATTCCGTGGCGGATTATCTCAGGAACATGGATATCCTAACTTGCGCAGTGGTACAGAATCTGGGAGAAAATTATCACAGGATTATGCACCGTCAGTCCGTCTCTCACAAGAGTACGACTCTCTTAGCTCTTTGGGAAGATCTTTTCGGCGGTTAAGTCAAAAACAGGAAGATCTCAACGGTACGGTGCTGTAAAAACGTCTCCTTCGGACGTATACAGTGCCCCATCATTCAGATCGTCGCAACCACACAACACGGTGCCCCTGAATATCAACCGACGAATACTGAAGATTACAATGCCCCATTCCAAAGAAACAGTGGCTTTTCGAATACTAGAAGCTCTTCGACCGTTCAAAAGTACGGTGTGCCCAAGTCTCGTAGTAGCCAGTTGCGTTCTGGCTCCGTATCACAGGAATATTCACCTTCTTCAAGATCTAATGCACAGCAGGCACACAAGACATTAGAAGATTTCTCATTTGGCGCTCAAAGTCTCGCCAAATCATCAAGAAACAGTCCTTCCCAAATTTATGGAACACCAGCTAACTCTCTGGCGACTCAGTATAGTGCACCTGAAGCTATAAATGCTGATGCATTATAGTGAATCAGGTGTGTTGTCGACAACGTACAACATACCTAATGGATGGAGTATCTCTCAGGAATATGGTGTGCCAGAAACAGGAGCAGCTTTGAAATCAAGCACCCTTGCATCATCTTATCCATCAACTAGGTATGTATAATGTATTTAATACATAGTTATAAGTATTTATATTTTAGTGTGCAGAAAAAGCACGAGAGTAGAATAAATGCAGTAGAAATGCGGTCGCTAAGGAGTATGTTAGGGCTGAATCTGAGTGACAGGGTGAGAAACTGTGTGATAAAAGAAGAGTGTGGTTTGCAAGATGATGCGGTGACCAGGATTAAGAAAGGAATGCTTCGGTGGTTTGGTCATGTAGAAAGAATGAATGCGGAAAGACTGACAAAGCAAATATATGTTGCAGAAGTGAATGGAAGAGTCGGAAAGGGACGTCCTAGGCGGAAGTTTGTCGACCAAATTGGCGATATACTAAAAATGGGCCAAATTAAGAGTACCCTTAACCGACGAGCATGTATGCGTAGGTATATGGATGTGGAAGAGGCGAGAAAGGTATGTCAGGATCGTGCTAAATGGAAGTCTGTAGTCTCTGCCTACCCCTCTGGGTGACAGGCGTGAGTGTTTATGTTTTTTTTATAAGTATTCCGTCCATGGTAGCTCAAGGGCTACATATTTGGTGCTGTGACTAGATAGTCGCTTTTTATAGAATAAGGGTGACAAACGAGCACATAGTCCACCTGATGGTAAGTGGATGCTGTGGCTCATAGACATCTACACTTATCCTCGATTAAGAATCAAAAACAGATGCCTTGTCACCGCTGAGGACTAAAATGGAATGCCTCATTTCCGGTAAAAAAAAGGGTCTCCGGATCTCTACACTTGCCATACGCAACACAGCGGCATTAACCTGCTATTTTACGCTGGTATTCTGTGAGAGCGTTGTCCTTCCCCGGTCGAGCTGACCCATTCGTGCTACAACCATGTTATAGCTGCAGCGTGGCTCCACCACGTTTAAACTATCTGGCTACACTAGCTTGCGTTGATTTGTGAAAAATAAACATATAATGTGCTTCCCTCGTCTATCAGGGTTCTTATGCTTCTTTGACACTTGTCATAGGTTAAAACTACTTTTACGGATTTTATCGCGTTTAATTTTAATTATTTTTATTTTTAATTCCCGACGTTTCGGGTGCTTTCCAGCACTCATGGTCACGGAGACTGAGGTGACTGACGTCCCGATGTCATTGTTGAACCCGGAGTACCTACTGCTTTTTTTAATTATTGTTTATGGTCCGATCTATGCAAAATGAACTATGTCTTGAGGTCTTGCAGTGGTATGCTTGGGCTTAGTTTTAATTTTATTGATTATAGGGTCCCAAGCAGGTGGTAGTACCCAGCCTCCTTCTCTATTGAAGTTAGGATGTTTTTTAATTTCAATAGCCTCACGTATCATCCTTGGTAGGAATCGGTGTTCTTTCGCGAGGATTTGTGGTCTATCAAATCTGATGTAATGGTTGGGGCCGTCTAGGATATGATCACAAACTGCAGACTTCCCGGAACGTTGATGCTTCACATCAGACAATGTGAATGAGAATCATCAGAAAATGATAAAATCCGTAAAAGTTGTTTTAATCAATGTGTAGTGTTCTCGTAAATCTAAAAAATCTTTATATAAACTTGTCATAGGGTCAAAGAAACATAAGAACTTCTGACAATTGTATATGCGGTAAATAATTAAAAATTTTAATATTAGAAAGACTATTTAATTTATAGCATTTGTTGGAAAACGAGCACACAGTCCACCTGATCGTAAGTGGATACTGTGACCCATATACATCCATATTAATCCACAATCAAGAATCAAAACGAGCAAATGCGTTGTCACCCCTGAGGACTATGATGGAATGCCTGCTTTCCAGTAAAAAGGATCTCCAGTTCTCTACACTCACCATACGATAAGCGTGTCCAGAACGTGGTCCTGCCGCGGTCGAGCCGATCCATTCGTGCTGCAACTATAACGTAACTGCAGCGTGGCTCTACCACGTAAAAAATAGACTAGTATCACGGTTCAATGTATTAGACGAAGCACAACTCTGAATTTCTTCTCTGGCTCCTGATCTAATAATAAAGAATCATGTAAATAGTTTTCTCCGCCGTTCGTTATGCGTACAGAAATGAACAGAATAGTCATTCGTTTACAATGTAGGAGTCTTTTAAGCACAATCATTGCGCTTTAACGTTCTTCATCTATTTAACATAATCACTTACCATCGGGGTAGCTAGTCAAACACTGGTTTACTATAGTACAATAAAACTTATTGTACAGTAAGTCTATATGCATGGCAGAAACATTATGTTGATCGTTTTATACTTGGTAGAGCCATGCAGTTATATTAGTGGCATAGTTGTAGCACGAATGTGTACTCGTAGGCTCAACCGGAGAAGGGCCACGCTCTCACGGATTACCAGCGTAAAATAGTAGCTTAGTAGCTTAATGCTGTATGTTATGTTATGTGTATGTGTATGTAGAACCGGAGACCCTTTTTACTGGAAACGAGGCATTCTATCATAGTCCTCACGGGTGACACTGCATCTGCATTCTGATTCGTAATCGAGGATAGATGTAGATGTCTATGGGCAACAGTAACCACTTACCATCAGGTGGACTGTGTGCTCGTTTGTCACATCATCCCAAAAAAAAATATCTATCCATACTTTGGACACACTGGTGATTTTTAATAAACCAGGACAGTACACAAGAGATAACATTCATTTTGGGTTTAACAGATCACCATCTCGGGAATACGGCGCACCATCATCTCGTACCGCCATGCCCTCGCCGCAGTACGGGGCTTCAAGAAACCTCGACGGATACTCAGACCAGAGCTACGAGAGCTATGCAAGAAATTCTTTAGAATTGCTTAATCAGGTAAGAACTATAAAGTCAAGTAAACGAAATATTACAAGTAAGCAAGCACAAGGATATCGAAGCGTTAAACAGCGGCGTAAGAAAATCCGCTACACCATCTCATCCCGTAGGAGTCGTAAGTGGGGATAGAGGGAATCTGAAACAGGATATAGGCAGCAGCATTTTTCTTTTGCCATCCCGCCTTGCAAGCGTGGCAACTGTAGCAAAAGCCTACAAGACAATCTAAAGGGGAGGCCAATTAAGGCGCTATTCCTAGCGAACGACCTGCAGCATTCGGTTCTATACATTCCACGCGCTCTCTCTACAATAATATATCGCGTAAGAAATTCGCCCAAATTTTAAAATATTTTCTTTATAAAATCGAATATTTATCTTTTGAAAAAATTAAATAGATCAAAATGTTCATTAATAAATTGCCTATCCATTATTGGCAATCGTAAAATAAAAAAGTTTGGAAAATACAAAAGTGCACGCCTTATAATCCCATTTGATTATATAAAAGAAAAATATCTCTTTTTCTATATTTGAGACGAAAGAAGAGATCCATGAGAATATTTTTTTGTAGAAAAGTACCAGTTGTTTTTTTACATTTTCATTAATTAAAATTAAACGAGAACAAATTACTCAGTGATTTTTTTAAAGAAACCTGTGCGTTGTGATTCTAAACCTAATAAAAAAAGAATTATTTTGATACATTAATTCTAACGACTACGATTAATACAGACTTCCGGGCACCCTCGATAATTTTTTTTCAATCAGTTTGTTTTTACACTTAATACAGAAAATTACTTTTAAAAATAATAGAAACATGAAAACGAATGATTTTTCTCGATATATGTGTATTTTTATTATTCTTAAAGTGCGGTAGTTAAAAATGAAGACATTTTTAGCTCAGTAAATTACTGGATTTCCATTGTTAGCGTATTTTAATAATTTATATTGTTGTAACTAACATGGTGGGTAATTAATTATTTTCATCCTATAAAGTCTGCGGAAACATTAATGTATTAGATTATGTCTAGTTATTTATTTTTGCTTATATTGATAACTAGAATATAAAACTGTTTAAGATAATTATAAGAAATATAAATAATGTTTTATGATGTAAAAACATACGGCTTAATATCCAATTTTATAAAAACTTGTAACGGAAACCACACAAGCAACGCCATCTGTACTTTAGCACTGTTAAATTACAAGCCTATAAAAGACAGATGTCGTCGGTTTGAGCGGCAGCGACAGCGCGCTACGAGCGGCAGTCTTACTAAAACTGTTGAGCAGAGAATACGTACGCGGAAGAAGAAAGTAGAAGAAATTGTGAGTAATAATAATAATTATTGTTATACCTTGTTATTTGTGTGTCTAAAATGTACATTGTTATTACTATGAATATCTATAACCTTGTTTAGATTTATGATATTTTATGCAGTTAATAAAATACATGATGTTACTTACGTATTAAGCGACTTTACTTAACACCATTAGGTGAGAGTAGAGCACAACCTCAACGCTTCGCTTATTAGACGTGTAATAATGTTTACTTTATGAGGAGATGTATGTCATCAATAATTTTTATATAATAATATTTTATTATTAATAATTAATTCGCATTTCTGTGGTTTAGTTGTAGGAAGATTCATCAAGTATTTACTCTTTTAAAAAAAGCCGGCCAAAAGCGTGACGGACCACGCTCAGTGTAGCGTTCCGTAGTTTCCCGTCAGTCATAATAAGTGTTCCCACTTACGAGTTTAAAGGGTATCCATTATGTTCGCGCTACAGCAGCGCTCCGCGCTCCTGCAACTGCTCCCGGTAGTGGGTACTGTTGTTTCCATCCGAGTTCAAAATGATTTTCCTATAAAGTCCTTATAAAGTTCTACTTTTCAGATTTTTTTCATATTTTCTAAACTTATGGTTCAAAAGTTAGAGGGGGGGGGGGGGCGACACATTGTTTTTTCATTTTTAAATACCTTTTCAACAATATATCACACGTTAGGGTTGAAATTAAAAAAAAATCACTTCCCACTTTACATATAGGGGGCTACCCTAATAAAACATTTCTTTCCTATTTTTATTTTACCACTTTGTCGGCGTGATTGATACACATATTGGTACCAAATTTCAGCTTTCTAGTGCTAGCGGTCACAGAAATTAAGCCAGGACGGACAGACGGACAGACAGACATGGCGAAACTACAAGTGTTCCTAGTTGACTACGGAACCCTAAAAAATGGAATTGGCTATTATGGAATCAAGATTGTGTAGAGATGTAATAGGTTTTTTATTAGTAGATATATCATTTTAATAAGAAGTAGAGAGCTCCTAAAAACTTCACAAATAACGACTAGCGCTGCGTTTTGCACAAACACGCAAATTAAGGGAATTGATAAATACTACTAAATGTATCAATGCCATTAATTATTCGTTCAATAAAGGCTATCGAAGACCACTGCTGAACATACCCGGGGGGTCGCTCCATAGGTGTACCTGATTAGGGGAATATTTGCCACAGTTTCCACGCTTGGTGGGCAGGTTGGTAACAGCAATTTGTTTTATTTTCTAGTCGTTATTAGGAAAACGCTGTTGCCTTTGTATTTCTCTGTCTCACCTCTTGCGACACCCACGGGACGATATGGGGTACTGGATATTCTTACACGCTACTACACGTTCTGTTACTCAAATTTACTAATCAAAATACACAGGAACCAGCGAACTACGAGTTCCCCTACAAAGTGAGCGACTACGAGAGCGGAAGTGACTTTGGCCACGCGGAAAACCGGCAGGACGATAAAGCAGAAGGGGCGTACTTTGTCGTACTTCCTGATGGAACCAAACAGGTACGTTGAAATCGTCTTCATCAGCTCTAATGCTTTGGAACTCGAGTAAATTCTACCTATCTATTTCTGCAAACACAAATGCGAATACTATTGTATTTTAGTGTAGTAAGACACACTGAAATACAATATATAAATTTTCACAGTACGCGAGCAATTTTAAGTGTTGATTTACCACGTGCTCGACGGTGAAGGAAAACATCATAAAGAAACCTGCATGTCTGAGAAACAAAAAAAATTTTGAAGACATGAAGAGTTCTCCAACATGCAGTGAGGCAGCAAAGCGGACATTACTTTACCCTTAAACTCTCTCAGAAATGAGAGGAGGCACAGGCGTTCTCTCATTTCTCTTACATACGTCACTACGTACGGCATTTTAACTTTTATAGTAAGACGGTCAGCATTGTAAAAGGTTGTGAATCTAAGTTCTTTCTTTACTGGGAACAAGACATACCATCGTAGTCCTCAGGGATGACAACGCATCTGCATTATGATTCATCATCGGATACAGATGTATATGTCTATGGGCCACAGCACCCCTTGCCATCAGGTGGAACGTGTGTTCGTTTGTCACCGTTAATCTATAAAACAAATGAATTGAAAAACAAACTTACATTCCACCTGGAACGTGGCAGCAGTCGGGTGTTCACCTGCAACCAACATAAATAAAGAGTTGGCATCAATGAGGACTAAGATGGAATACCTCATGGCCTATTATTATACTAGTTTTTTCTGCATTTATCTACATCTCTTATACACTTTAGATATGGATGATAATAACCCCTGGGTAGGGTGATCGCTACCAAGCTGATTCTAATTTATTGTGTGTTAATTGTAACATACATGATTGTAAGCTGTTATTTAAAAAAAACCGCTGGGTTTCTTGCTGGTTCTTCCCAGGATAGAGGTTTTTTTCCGAATCAGTGGTAAATTAAAAAAAGTGACTTTCAATAAGTATTATTTATAATCTTTTTTGAATAAAAAAGTTTCTGTTTCTGTTTTTGATCTCTTACTTTTTATCCTTGGACTACAGTAGCTAGTTGCTATAATTTGTCAACAAACGAAAGTGTAACAAACAAGTGTATTTTTTTTTAATTTGTCCTAAAAATTATTTTACCACGTTTTTCACCTAGAATTTCTGATTCTGAGCTATGATCAAAATTTCAAGTCCCTAGGCCATCAGGAATTGTTCGAAATTTGAATTGCAACACTCCACCCGGAACGGCAGAAAAACTAGAAAGTGACATGATGAAAACGTGCTAATATGAATATATTTTCATGACATGTATTCTGTTCTTTCCAGGTGGTAGATTACGAGGCTGATGAAGATGGATTCAAGCCAAGGATCTCGGTTATACCAGCCGACACTGCATCTAGCCGCGCAGGTGACTGGCCTTATTGACACCACTTCATAATCCTTATAGAAAAGACGACCAATTACTGTAAAATTTAATATTTATATAAGTCAAAACTGGCAGTATGGAATAATGAAATAAAAAATAAATAAATTAGAAATGTGTTTTAATTTGTTCTGTAACCAAAGATTATATTTGTTGGCGACGCAAGATAAACATCTCACTAAATCGTTTATTGTTTCTTAACATTATGATGCTCATAGATGTATGGGATCCCGTACCATGCTGTAAATAGAATTTTTTTTATAGACTACACTGATCATATTAACTCCTTTTTTAAAAAAAAAATCTAGGTTTTGGAGTTATTTTATAAAATCAAAAATAACCTAAAAAGTGTGTGAACCGAGAGCAAGGCGTCGTTGAGGCTCTTCCCTTCATACTTGGCAGCTGCGTCGAACACTATTCTCAGCTTCTTCTTAACTGGGTGCACAACAGCGAAGTGGGGTAAGTAGAATGTTCTTCCCTTGTTGGAGGTTTCTGGAGGTATCTCTGCGTATCCCTTCTCAATTAGACTCAGGATCTGCTCCTCGTAGTGTTTTCTTGCTTCCGTTTTTTCTGTAGAACATCCAGTACTTTAGCTTTAGGGACAACCATTTGCAAATGACAGCTGTCTCCCCGAACATTTTCCCATTTACGGCACGGAACTCCACCCTGAAGCAGCAAGCTGTCCCACTGGGCCCAATAGCTTTTAGTGGTCGAACTCATCGCTGAGACGTCGCTCCACTTGGGCTTGGGAGCACTGGCCTTCATCCATTCCAGAATCGGCTTGATGTCCGGATCTTCCTGCTGTGCACGTTGTAAGCTGTCCTTCCACTCGTTGCTGAGGTGGTCTGCCCTGAGCATCCTCACGGATACCAGTTCCTTACTCTCTTGCCTAATACAATGTTTACGTAGTACTTCTTTAACGAGTTTCTAATAAATGATAATAATATCATATGATAGAAAGGTTAGAGAAAATAAAAAATGTAACTAAAGTAAAACGAAAAAATGCTAAGTTACTTTAATTTTTTTGTTTTCAGCGCTGTAGCTGTAAGTATGCTGAATCAATTATTCTTGAATAGCGAACCGTCCCGACTTCGCCTGATCTATATATGTGGCGTTATTTGATTTATGATAATCATCAAAAACATTTATCAATTTTACGATTTCCAAAAAAATCTTACACAAGTTTTGGGATAAAATATAGATAACTTCTGGCATTGCTATCTATCTCTTTGTCAAGTTTTTTTTTTATAGGATAGGGTGACAAACGAGCACACAATCCACTGATGGAAGTGGTTGTGGGCATAGTCACTCCATCTTCCATTACAATATGAGATCGTTGTACCGGAGTGATGTATTCAGTAGGGTGTTGAGATGTGGTATGTGAGAGGTGTCTTCCCCGGTGAGGAGTCCTTTATTGCAGCATGGTCCACATGTTCATTACAATCGGTTGAGCCATTTTGAAGATTATATAGATAGCCCGGACAGACAGATTCAAACAAACATTTCAAAAATGACTATTGTTATCTTAATAGCATGCGAATCACTCAAGCTAAATAAAAGGTCGTTATTTCAATATTTACAGACAGACACTTCAATTTTATGTGTACATGTGTATTTCGGTATGTATATATATATATATATATATATATATATATATGGATAAGTTTATTGTTATCTTAATAGCATGCGAATCACCCAAGCTAAATAAAAGGTCGTTATTTGAATATTTACAGACAGACACTTCAATTTTATGTGTACATGTATATGTCGGTATGTATATATATATATATATATATATATATATATATATATGTATGGATAAGTTTATTGTTATCTTAATAGCATGCGAATAACCCAAGCTCAATAAAAGGTTGTTATTTCAATATTAACAGACAGACACTTCAATTTATGTATTATACTAGCTTCTGCCCGCGACTTCGTATGCGGATCCTGTTGCTTATGCCAGCGACAACGGGGTCGTCAAAATCGAAGATCTGAAACGTCTGATGTTGGTCTTGTTTTTCGACGCTACCAACGACCTATTTTGAACAGACACCTTACGCCGGCAATACACGTTGGCCAAGCCTCAGCCAACGCGAGCGTAGGCAAATTGATACAAGGCGAGCGATTTAAAAAAAAGTGTTTTAAGATAATAATTTATTAGCAGTATGGATATATTGGAAGATAATATAGGATTTGTGCCTTTTGAGAAGAGAAAGGTTAGAATTTCAGAATTTATTAATTTATTATTATTTCTTTTTTAGGTGCATGATGCTTGGGTTAGGATCTCCATTGAAATGGAGATTTCAATACCTGATCTCAAAAGAAAGAAAGAAGCTTTAATGGCCACATTTAGACAACACTTAAAAAAGAAAAAGGCTTCAGTATCTTCTGGATATGGTTATGAAGACGTATATAAACCCATTTGGGTATTTTATGATGGCATGGAGTCGTTTCTGGGAGATGTGTATGAATGTTCCAATATAATGGATACATTGGTAAATACCTAACTTAATCAATTAAAATAAAATACAGCACAGTTCACACAAAATGTATTTATTTCACACTTAAATCTATAGAATTACTAGAAATAATACAAACATATAAGATATAAACTATGATGCTAGTTTTATCATATTTTCTAATAATTTTAAACAAAAATCATTCGAATTAATCAGTCTATTAATCAATTTTTTATACTTAATGATAGTTTTTAATTACTGTTTTGAGCAAAATAATATGCAAAATTTTATTTTTTTTCTTTTTTTTTATTTTTTTTATCCCCGATTTTTAAAAAGAAAGTTTTGTAATAAACAATGTTTTTTACAAGGGGTTTGTGATTAAAGGGGTAAAGTTTTTTAAAAAATTTTTTTGGGGTGTTCTTTGGGGGCTACTCATTTCGTGATTTCCAGGATATGGTTTCATTAAATTTGTGTGAAGTGCAAATGCTCCATCACCTAACATAACATATGGAAATTCAATATCCGACCCTGAGAGTGGACATGGCGAAGGGAAATTAATACTATTGTTAATAAGTTTTTTCCACAATGCACTTTGTCTTAAAACACCACCATCACTTATACGGCCTTGGGCACCTACATCAGCAAATAAGAAGCAATAATTACTGTCTACTAGAGTCAATAGGACAATACTAAAGTCCCCTTTATAATTATAATATTCTGAACCAGTTAAAACTGGTTAATTACACCTTTAGGTGGGCATTGTAATTTAATATGTTTACCATCTAATGCCCCAACACAATGCGGGAACCTAAATCCTCTTGCTACAGTAAGCAATTCTTCTGGGGATGTAGGGATCTGGAACAAAAAATAGTATTATTTATTAAACTGATAAAATTTACTTTTTTTCAGACACAAAGATATGAACACACAGTAGTCGAACCTCAAACGTATGAAACAAGAAAAGTGTTAGATGAACAAGAGGAGCTTGCACGCCCTGCAAATATCACCACACAGGAAGGACTTCCAACCCCCTCTAATAAAAACGTATTGAAGCGTCGTTCCTCTAACCCTCCTGAACTTCAAGAGGCAACCAGGCACATGAAAAGTGCATTGGGTACTATCAATGCTGTATTATCCAACAAAATGAACCAAGGAGATGATGTATGTGATCTCTATGGAAAACTTCTAGCATCAAAATTGAAGAAGTATTTTTCTGATGTCGAACAACAGGAAGTCATGTGTGAATTAGACAATGTATTGATTGATAAAAAGAATAAGGAATCGCCAAACACAGAGTTATATTTCTTCCCCAAGTACTCCGCGCTCCGTTGATTCTTTTTCACCTGCATCACCACTTCAAATACACAGTTCTTCATCTTCTCAAACTTTTTATGTTTCATCAGACCCACCTGTATCAATGCCACAGCAGCCATCTTCATCCCCTGGTTATCCTATGTTAAGCATACCAGAGCCAAGTAGTATACTAACACCAAACGTAATTATGTTGTCACCGCAACACCTACACTTTACTCCATCAACCACTACAGCAACATTGCCAGTACAGAAATCAGACATTTATAGTTCAACTTTTACTTCAAAACATCAATCAGGAAATAGAATAAAAATTTTACATGATGAAGTGGTTAATTCGGGACAAATTAATCCAATTCGGGAAGCTTTTTCCAAAGCAGTTGAAGATGATATTTAATTTGTATTTTATATTTTATTTGTAATATTTGGTCCAGAAGAGAATTTTTATGTTCATTTTTTTTTTGTTTATTAGAGGTAATGTTTTATGATTATTTTTATAATTTCATCTACTTAATAATCACATTTTTTTACTTATTTTTTTAACTTTATTTTTTAACACTAAAATATATTTTATTTTGCGCAATGTTACTTTGGTTATCAATAGTATAATAAGTTTGTCTTTGTAGAAATTATTTAATAAATTTGAAAATATAAGTGCTGTTATTTAATTTTACCTTAACCATGTCCTTCAAAACTTCAATAAGTGCTCGACAAACTTCAGGAATTATTTTAGATATTAATTGACTGGATATTTTAAAGGTATGATGTAAGCTTCTGAAACTGTCACCAGTTGCTAAATATCGCAATGTGCTACAGTTTGTTTAGCGGTGCCAAGTTGACTGGTGGTATATCGAAGTGCTGAAGTGTTTATACAGTAGGGCTACGATGGCTATCCGAGTACAGAACCAGAGTACGAAACGTTGGATAGGTTTCTTACTCTAGTTCTACCGCAGAGAAGTGTGAGACAGGGTGAAGTTATATACCCGATACTCTCCAGCGTTGTATTGGAAGACGTTTTCAAGCTAGTGAACTGGAAACGATACAGTATTAACATCAATGACGATTACATCACTCACCTTTGATTTGCCGACGATATAGTCCTTATGGCAAAATCGCTGGAGGACCTAAGCACTATGTTCAATAACCTCAATAGTGTATTCCAAAAAGATGAACATGGATAAAACAAAGATCTTGTGTAACGTCCATGTCACACCTATGCCGGTAGTTGTTGGAAGCATTAAGTTGTTGACGAATACGTTTACCTGGGACAAATAGTCCGACTAAGTAAGTACAACTTCGACCGAGAGGTCGATCGACGGATTCAACTCGGCCGGGCAGCGTTCGGTAAATTACGACATAATATCTTCTCGTCAGGTATACCTCAAAACCTTAAAACAAGATCATACAACCACTACGTGTTGTCGGTGACGACTTATGAATCTCAGACATTGTCCTTCACTGCTGGCCGTGTTAGGACGCCCAAGGTCGCTCAGTGAGCTATGGAGAAGGCTATGTTCAGGGTTACTCTGCTTTATAAAGTTAGAAATGAAGATATCCGCCGTAAAATCAAAGTGACTGACTTAGTCCAACGGATTAATAAGCTGAAGTGCCAATGGGCCGGCCATATAGCTCGAAGAAACGACAACCGATGGGAAAAAAAGTTTCCCGAGTGGCAGTGTGATATAGGTAGGCGGAGTGTAGGGCGAACCCCACTATATGGATTGACAACCTGGCAAGACATGCAGAAGTCGATGTATGCAGGTGGCTCAAGACCGTTTTTTGTGGCATTCCTTGGGGGAGGCCTATGTTCAGCAGTGGGCTTGTAAAGGTCGGTAACGAAAATGATGATGATGATATGGATTCACCGGTATACTAGTAGACTTGATGTAGACTGAAATAGTGCCATTGCTTGAACGCTACGATAAAAAACTATATTATCAACAAAACATGTGCATATGTTGCTTTCCCCTGCAATATCGCCGACAAATGGTTTTACGAATACAGTAAAATGAATAACACAGTTTTATGCATTAAAATAACTCACGTGTATTTTATTACAGAACTGTTGGCTGTACAATAGAACTCAGTTGATCCTTAAAAACACAGTTATATTGTTCAGAAGTACCAGGATTTTAATTACCACTTAAATGCCATTTAAGGTCACTAAAACAGCTCAAAGCTGTATAAGGGATTTACGGTGTATGATAATGGTACAATTTTATGCTATTAAGCTTTGGGGGCATTAGGCATCATTTTACTACTTAAAAATTGCTATTGTTGACCCTAAAGCACTAAAACTGCTGAAAGCTGAATAGCGGATTTATGTGGAATTATAATGGTTCATGTTTGTACTATTAAACAGACATGCCTTTAGTGGCGATGTAAGAATATTCCCGACTCCATATTACTGTCCCGTGGGCCCGTGGGTGTCGGAAGAGGCGACAGAGAACAACTGAAACAGGAGATGAGCAGAACCATCTTTCCAATAACAACCACCATTAGTTAGTGGTGATGTAAGAATATTCTCGACTCCATATTACTGTCCCGTGGGCCCGTGGGTGTCGGAAGAGGCGACAGAGAACAACTGAAACAGGAGATGAGCAGAACCATCTTTCCAATAACAACCACCATTAGTTAGTGGTGATGTAAGAATATTCTCGACTCCATATTACTGTCCCGTGGGCCCGTGGGTGTCGGAAGAGGCGACAGAGAAAAACTGAAACAGGAGATGAGCAGAACCATCTTTCCAATAACAACCACCATTAGTTAGTGGTGATGTAAGAATATTCTCGACTCCATATTACTGTCCCGTGGGCCCGTGGGTGTCGGAAGAGGCGACAGAGAACAACTGAAACAGAAGATGAGCAGAACCATCTTTCCAATAACAACCACCATTAGTTAGTGGTGATGTAAGAATATTCTCGACTCCATATTACTGTCCCGTGGGTGTCGGAGGAGGCGACAGAGAACAACTGAAACAGGAGATGAGCAGAACCATCTTTCCAATAACAACCACCATTAGTTAGTGGTGATGTAAGAATATTCTCGACTCCATATTACTGTCCCGTGGGTGTCGGAAGAGGCGACAGAGAACAACTGAAACAGGAGATGAGCAGAACCATCTTTCCAATAACAACCACCATTAGTTAGTGGTGATGTAAGAATATCCTCGACTCCATATTACTGTCCCGTGGGTGTCGGAAGAGGCGACAGAGAACAACTGAAACAGGAGATGAGCAGAACCATCTTTCCAATAACAACCACCATTAGTTAGTGGTGATGTAAGAATATTCCCGACTCCATATTACTGTCCCGTGGGCCCGTGGGTGTCGGAAGAGGCGACAGAGAACAACTGAAACAGGAGATGAGCAGAACCATCTTTCCAAAATAAAAGTAAAATTAAAAAAAAACTGTGGTTGTCTACCCGATTTCCAAGCGTGGCAGTTATGGCAAAATCTCCTCTATGATACAATTTATGGGGGAGGCCTATAATGCAACCGTGAACTTTTATAGGTTGTATTGGATGAATGGATGTAACGAAAACTAATCTGCACCATAATCCGTTAAAACCACTTGTGTAAAAATTAATCGATTAAAAAAAATAAGTTCATTAACCCTTTATCTTTCTGAAAATCTGCTTTTTATATAATTTATATGTTCAGTATTGTTTCGGACGGCAGGGACTCTCCAGTGCCCGCAGTCGCCCTCATAGATAAATAAATATGTAGGTCGCCCTGGGACAATCTCCCACTTTATGACGTACGTTCCTTGCCTAGTGCTGGTGACGCACGTCCCACGCACCCCTGAATGCGTATGTATACTACGACCCTACTAGGACCCCGAGAGAGAGAGAGAGATAGACGATCAGCCAGGAGGAGGCAATTAAAACGCTTTTCTAAAGTAGCTTCTTGTTCCTTAGGTTTCGGCTTCCTTTTTTCCTTATAGTTGTAGCCTCTTCGACGGCTGTGCTGCGACTCGATTTGAGCCTTTTTTTGCGCCCGAAGCAAATATGGGCAACCCTCCGGAAAGCGGAGGAGGGAGGCGGTGAATGCTCATAGCATACCACGCAGCCGGCTGCGTGGTTATGTGGAGACTTTTACCCACTAAACACCGCCTTTTAGGGACTGGCTTAACAATCTAACTAGAGATTTAAGCCTTATCGAACGCGACCCTCCTTGGGTGAAAGGGGGGCGCTAGCGGCAAGTAGCCGCTGGAAAGAGTTTCTGCCTAGCTAAGGCAGCTTAAGAATGGGATGACTACTTATATTGAGTTTAAAAAGTGTTGGTGCTCGGTAAGAGCGAGCAGACGATCTTGAGGGGACTGAGAAGCGCGCAGTTTGCGTGCTAAAATTGCGATCTCTCTTACGTCGATATTGCGGATAGCAGTGTATACTGTATCAACGTTATCGGCGTAAGGGGTTCCGCCTGATGTCGGGGCCCTGGTGGGCGAAGGTGAGGAGGCCTGTAGGGTCCCTGAGGGGGTTGATATAGGTCCTGAGGTAACTGAGAGTTGCCCTGAAGGGGCATTTTGGATGGGAGAGCCGGGAATGTACGGTCATTTACCGGTGGCGGAGCTTTTTTGGCAGCTTTGTTGCCGATATTGGGGCGTGGCGCGCGAGGGCAGCCTCCGAAGTTGGCCGTATGGCCGGTCTGTCCGCAAAGGACGCAAGCTGGTGGGTACTCGGTATCACGTGGCCGAGGACACTCTTTCGAGCTGTGCGGGTCTAGGCACTTAAAGCACCTTGGAGGGGCTGAGCAGTTGGCCGCCGCATGCCCGTAAAGTTGGCAGCGGTGGCACTGCGCCGGAAAACCGCGCCTATAGGGGGCTTCGACTTTGACTCTCGACAGGCCGCACACAGTGTGTACCTGTCGGAATATGTCTTTCGCCTCCGGCACGTTGGACAAAATGAGGAGGGCAAGCGAGTACCTATTGCCCCTACTGCTGTGCATCTTGTGCACAGCCTCAACTGGGAATCCCTGGGACTTTAGGTCCTCCAGGATTTCCTCGTTGGCGAGTTCAAA